AAGTATGAGAGTTTATAATTCAAGATAACGTACGTGATATTGGGAGCAGAACAGATAAAAACCTCAGTGTGCTTCAAGAAAGGGGAAATGGGAGTGGGCTTGGCTAATCAGGAAAGGAGGGCAGAGAGAGTGACATGTAGGAAAGAGCAGAGTTTCAACAGGTGCAGTAGGGTCAGGTGCAGTAGGATGGGTGAGGAGGGGTGACAACCGCGTAGGCAAGAAGAGGCAAAGTGGACTCAGGATACAATGACTTGATCCACTTAGATGGAGTGAGGACTGGCTCCGAGTGCTCTCCCTGCCACGAACACCTGTTTAGAATCTTCACTGTTGGGCCAGAGAGCGTTCAGGTCGGGCGCCTGTCCTGGTTGGGAGCACAGGGCCGGTCATCTCAAGGAGAGATGGAAAAGCTTGGGGCAGGTTAACAAAAATTTCTGACAACTGCCCCAAAACTCTTCTGTAAGAAAAATAGCATCCACTCCAACAGCAAGTTTTGACATCACCTACACATTATTTACAGGTAGAAAATGGAAAGTAAATGCTAGATTTAAATAAATGCATTTAAAACAGTAATGGGCAGACGTTTGAAAGCTTCAAGAGTAGCACTTCATGGAAATTGTGAGAATTTCTAGCTTTGATTGATTCTCACTTTAACACTTGGACTAAACATAAAAGCATTCATAAAAAATATATATATATAACTTGTATGTGAAGAAAAGTTTAATTTCACTATTATGATTGCTTTATATTATTCTCTGAAAAATCCTTACTGATACCTCTGCTTCTTTCTGACAGATGTTAGCTCATTTTTTTAATCATTTTTTTTTTTATCTTAAGGCCATGGATAAAGCAAAGATGATTTCTATGGGCCATCTTACTGTAAACACAGCTTCTCTCTTCTTTCTGTATCTTGCTATACTATTGGTATTTAAAATTCCATTAAGGGTAATGAGTAACTTTTTACTTGGTAACCAAACTGAACATTCCCACTGGAGGAACATGGGTGGCAAATAGCCACACATAACACAGTGGAGCCATTCCCCTGATGTGGTTGAGAAGATACGTGTGTTGAAGCGTCTCATCAAGTGTGAAGAATAGACTGATCACAGATGCCTGTGCACAATCCCAAGGGGTGGTGACCAAGAGTAACTGCGCCATTTTACCTTAACTTAGAACAATTGTCAATCGTGAGGATTTCTCATTGTTGGAATTAAGCAATGATGGCCATCTGGCTATAGCAGAGTTTATTTGATCAATCTTTTACAGTTCACATTTAGGTGGATTCCATTTTAATTACCTGGATTATCTGATTATTTATTTTGGATACGTTCCAACCAGTAGAATTGTTAGTATATACACATTTTCAAGGTTTTTGACCTACAGGGTAATTGCTTGATTTTTTTTTGTTTTTTTAATTTTATATATTTTTTTAAAAAATTGTATCAATTTATACTCAGTCAGCACTATATAAGTCACTGCTACGTAAGCCCTTGAACTTCAGTCCTGGAGCCCAGGGGAGAAAGAACATGAGTGGCTCAATCCAGTTGCATGAATATCTAATCTGAATTTCCATTCTCAGTCAGAAAAGTCATCAAAGTTTAAGTTGCCAAGTTGTCACACACCTGTTTCTGTTTCTTAGTATTTATTATATTATTAAGATAAAACGTCTCCCTTATAAATTTTACGCTATGTTAAAGTAATAAACTTTCCTGAAATATCATCACCGAATTTCAGTTCCCAACACGAGGTTCTGCATTCAGCAACTGAGGGAGAAATTCTCATCTACCAGTTTGTTAAATCTTCTACAAGTTAACTTCTTGCAGACTGCATTGAAGTCTGTATGAGGTGACTGCTTCCTCTCAAATACTTGCAGCTTCTGAACTTTAGAGGCAAAACAAATTATTGCCTGTATTTAATAGCAAAATACACAGCGTTCTGTGATGTTTAGCCTTTTAAGATTTTTTTCCCTTCCTTTATAGCGAGCAGACGAAAAAAGTTCTAACCAGGAAATTAACTTCCCCCCGTTTTTCCTGTTTTGTTTCACTCTCACTTTCTCCCTCTTTCTTCTACTCTCAGAAGACTTCACATGTGGAGCAACACCTGCAGGGGTGGTAACTGCAGTAGGGCTTTGCCTGACGGGTGCCCTCTGAGTGCAGAGAGTGGCCCGGATCACTGTCTCTGTACTCCTCCTGCCCATCGCCCGGTTACGCCTGGCATCAGCCATTTGGCCACCGTGAACCATCTTCATGCCCATCATGGCAAGATCTAGAAGCCTGGGGCTCTGGGCAGTTGTGCCTTTTCCCCGGCCCAGTGGAACTGAGAAAAAAATCTCTGTCCCTCAACTGCAGATGGTCAGCAGACTGGAGCACACCAGTAATCTGAGACGAGGCCAGGCTTATTTTAATTACAAATTACTCCGTCACTTCACGTTTGTTATCTTTCTGAACCTGAAGTTCATGCAGCAGACAACTTAATACACATTATTTAAATAATCATCAAAACCCTTCCTGCTTCAGCACTTTCCACCTTTCTCTGGAAAAGCCGGCACGTTTGTGGGGATTTGTAACTGCAAGAGTCTGAAGTCAAGTTTCAGTTCCAGCAAATGGGGGGTAGATGAGCCTTTAAAACAAACTGATCAGATATTGGAACAACAAAGACAGGAAGATTAAGGCAGTCTGTGAAGATGAAAGTGTGAAGAGATCTTGGGGGAAAATAGCTGGAGAGGAGCCTTTTAAAAATCAAACAGAAAAATTCTCATCGGTTGGCTCTGGCTCCTTTTTAAAAAATTTAGCAACATGTGCAAGGAGTTTATTTATCAAGTCAGATCTCCCGTTCTTAAAATACATTTAAAAAAAAAGAAGAAGAAGAAGTAAGAGGAAAGTAGGTTCATAACCCTTCAGTAGTTTCCCCGAAGTTATTTAGCATTGTTGTCACTAGGAAAACAGTTAATAGTTTGAGAACATTTTCCAGCAAAAATACAAGGAACTGAAAGGAAACCCACGTGCCCAGGTGGAAATTCTCAGTTCCTTCTCCTATACTGGCCTTGTCTGTGCGTACACAGAGAACTTATGACATAGTCCTCTGTTATGTGTACACTTGTTTTGTTCAACAATGCCAAAAAGTGATGACTTGGAGACTGAGAATGATGCAGACAGTCACCTGTCATTCACTGGCCTTTATTCTGACAACCTCAGGCATTCAGACATGGATTTATGGGGTTTCCCCCCTTGCACTTTATTTTTAAAGGGAGTGGGGGATGGGGGAGAATATCAGAGGATTCTGTCTTGAATAGACTTTTGTTTTGCTCTTTCTTTTACCTCTTGACTGTGTCAAATGCAGTGCGTCTCTCATGCAGTTTCTCTCTTTAGAGAGCCTCGGCTGGGCCAGCTAGTTAGTATTCAGAGGCAAGGCAAAGAGGATAAAATTCTTCTCTCCGCTTGCTGAGACTGCAAAGAAGCAATTAGACTAAAAGCAATGTATGGGAGAAAGAAGGCCATCACAGACATCATTGTTGACTGGAACCTGCCAATATAACTTTAAAATTGTAAAAACTTCATAGCAGGGAGAAATAATCACTTAGGGGCACATAAGTTGGTTGAGACACTAAGTCAGTATTTGTTACAGACATTTCTGCTGTGTAATGTACTCTGTGAACTGTAAGATTTTCCATTTAATTTTGTTTACTTATTGTAACGAGAAACAAATGGGTGAAATTAGCAACGGTGATAGACAACTCAACCTTTTATTGTAGTGCATGTTAGAATGTTTTCTAGATTGGCGTGGTCCCCCCATTTTCGTTTGAGCTCACTTTAAAGGACTGTGATGGAAGGCTGAAGGTTACAAACTGTTTTCTGTCTGACCAGGCAACGTCAGTTAGCTCTGCTGAATAGTTATCTGAGAGGTTTACACGATACACGCCAGCCATTTGCAGGGTATCGATGATGGTCCGTGAAATAGACTCTTCTCCCTCCCTGTAATATAGATGTTTTATGGGGTTCTAGCAGTTGATGCATTTCCTGTGCAAATGCTCACGTGCAGCTACTCTGTTACTAAACTGGGATTACCTAATTCCATGTTGTGCTAGACCCATCTCCAGTGAGCCTTCAAGTTTGTCCAATTGCCGGGAAATAGCGAGGAGAATTTGTTGATTTGATATATTTAATCCATCCCTTTTCCTCTTTCCACCCCCATCCTTCCAAACCACGTTTCCCAAAAGTTTAGAAATGCTAGCCTGATGAATTTATTTTTGCATATTCTAAGCCAGGAAAAAGAAAGGAATCTGGATTATTGACATTCTTTACCGGAACTACAGTAGACTGGAGTTAGCAGAAAAAACTGCTAATCATCACAGTTTTCGTGTGGGAAGCAATTTGCCTATAATTAGTAAGTTGATAAATACCAACAAAATGGGTGCTAAAACGAACAACTCTTGTGCTGAGAGACATTTGACTCCACATTACACTTTGCATTTTTATATATGCAGCATTACATTTTGTTACAAAGAGCGACAACTTTAGTGGCAGCTGAAGCAGTCTCATCTGTCTTCTGAAGGAAAGCAGGCATACATCTTAATATAACAACTTCTTTTACAAAACGTATCTGTTTTTTCTAGGAGTAAGCAATGCAAGGATAAGAAAAGAAGTTGGTCTTTTATTTATTTCATATAAAATGGTAGCAAAAGATGGAAGACTTATTCTGCAAGATAGTGAAGTGCCACAGAATGTAGCATTAAATGCTACCAGTGTCTTAGGGTGTAGTCTTCACTGATAACACCAAATTCGCATTTGTTTGTAGATCACTGTTTCCTGCATTTCCTATGAAATGATTACTGTACTAAACGTTATCAACACCATATAGAGTCAAATGGCCATACAGAGTCAAACTCATGGCCATTTTTGTTCAGTTCAAACAGTGAAATGTGTATGGTGTACTAAAATGTGAGAAATGTTCAATTCAAATAAACAAGATATGGTATGCTATTATCTTTATAATCAAGTATGTTTATATATCTGAAATGTTTTAATAAAACACTAGCTTTTGCAAGGGTCTAAATCACAATTGGTGCATTATACATAATAAATAAAGGGCTGTGATAGCTTTATCAGTGGTATACTGATATTCTGACTCACGTAGTTATCAGAAAATATAATATCACAGTAACTTCAGTCCGTATGATCCGATAGAACAAAAGAGATCATCCTGAGAAAGAAATTGTGAGGTTACAAATAAAGCAATTTCTTTATGCGAATGTGGCTTGGAAATAAATACATTCTTTCTAGTGCTTTTTCAGAGACATAATTTTAGCAGCGTCCTCATCTACAGCCACTTTACAGGTAGCTCAATTAGCACACGTGGTTATCAGAGATCTTACAACGTCTTCCTACTGCAGACCACGTGGTAGGTGGATTGACTGCTAATTATCAAACGTCTTCGAACATATAAATATATTCTTGCATTTAAATAATTTGATGAAGCTTTCTTTTCCTTTCCCTTTTAACAGTGTATCTTTGGTATTCCTAGATACTGAATGAGATGGCAAAAAAATGACCACCAGCAAAATAAATGCATGTTTTTCTTCCGCTCTTCAGAACATTCTATAGTGGGTGGTAAAATATTTAAGCCATTTCAGAGTCATGTAAACCATCCCAAATATGTCAGGGGAAGAAGAGGCTGCAATTCATTAGTTTTCTGCAATGAATCAACATGAAAGAGAACATTTTCAAGGCCCAAGTAGCTTTCATTTACAGTTCATGTCAATAACTTTATACTATGAACATTTTGCTAATTTGAGATATAGTATATCTTTGATCCATAACAAATTGATTATTATGAAATAAAATGGTAAAGATTGAGAAAGTATATGTTGCAGTTATTTGTGAAGTATATGTTCTATCCTATCTAATTATTATTATTTTGTTTTTCTTTGTATCAATCCTGTTTGAAACTTCGACTTCAATTCATTTTGGCATATATGCTTTTAATGATGATTTATTTACAAGATGGAATGAAAATTCATTTTGTACATGTAAATTTTTCATGGTACACTGATTAAAAAAAAGAAATATTTTCACATTTAAATTTAATTTTGCAACTCCTTTTGAAAAGACTTACTCTCACTTATTTCCCAAAATCAAGAAGAATACATTCAAAGAGTCTGAGATTCAAGAGTGAAGCTATACAACTTGGATCTGGTCCAATTCGCTGCCATTTTTTCACTAATATTATTTAATTTGTTGTAAGTCTTTTTCCTTCAATTAATGACTCCATTTAAGAGACAGTAATATTTTACAAGTGGCATATAACCCATCTTCGTGGAATATTTATTCGTTTCTAAAACAAAGTCTCCTACAGTGAGCTGCAAGATCCTTTCTTTGTGCTTGGTTTACTCCCAACCTTTTTTGCCATTCAAAAACAATGCTGACACGTGCATGAAATGACAAGTAGCATTAGCGTAATAAAGGAGTTAAACCAAACCCAAAGCACAGTCATATATTAAATTGTTTTTAAAAATACTGACCTAAGCACCTCTACGCGATGTTATTAGTAAAATATGAAGAAGAAGGAAAAAGACACTCGGAAGTGAGACGTGCTCTCCTGTATAATTGCTGATTTGCCATCACGTTGGCTCACCATGCCTTTGTCAGATATTATTTCTTGTCTCTTTGTCAAAGGAGAGGTTTTGAAGCCTTTATTCTGCACCTGGTGACTGCTGTCAAGGCTCAGACCAAGCCTCCGGGGTCCCAGCAACCTGTCCAGAAAGCTTGTGGTACAAAACCTTTTAAAAAGCCCCTCACATCCACTCACCAGGGCGACACATATGTTCTACCCCAAGAAAAATTCTAAACATCTCAACATCAGCTTCAAACACCGGAACTGTAACTTGGTGATGATTTTTCATTAAGCCCTCATGTTGCATAGCTCTTGCCCACTGCCCTGCAGAATGAAATTGAATGCAACTTTTAGGTCATCTTCCCTGGGAAGTGGTGATTTCCTAGGATTTGATGATTTATAAGGCTTCTCTAAAAACGGTTGGCATTTCCAAGTGGAGGCTTCCCACCATGTAATCCACGCGGGGTAAGATGGAGGAAAAGGGAGTTTATTTTTCATCCATTTACTTCTCCCAGAGAAGTTAAGTCGAGAGGCAGTGGTAGAGCTTTTCATATCAGCAACCAAAAACGGTAAGAAGAAATCTTTGTAAAACATACAGTGGTAGAACTATTTTCTACACAGATCCAACTATGTGGAGAACTATTC